TTCTTTATTAAAGATAGTTACACTGAAGCTGTGGCTCTATCACAATTGCCATAAGAAAACTGTCATGAGATCAACACAATTAAAAGGACTTAGCTACTGAAGTACCAAATAGTCCCTTAGCAGACAACGGACCTACTGAATAAACACAAACTCATGGGGCACAGTGGCTTATGCCAGTAATCCCAGCACTTTGAGACGCTGAAGCGGGCAGATCACGAGGTCAGGAGTTCGAGGCCAGCCTGGCCAACATGGTGAAACCCCCATCTCTACTAAAAATACAGAATTAGGCTGGGCGTAGTGGCTCACACCTGTAATCCCAGCACTTTGGGAAGCCGAGGCGGGGGGATCACAAGGTCAGGAGTTCGAGACCAGGCTGGCTAACATGGTGAAACCCCATCTCTACTAAACAAAATACAAAAAATTAGCCGGGCGTGGTGGCGGGCGCCTGTAGTCCCAGCTACTCGGGAGGCTGAAGCAGGAGAATGGCATGAACCCGGGAGGCGGAGCTTGCAGTGAGCCGAGATCGCACCACTGCACTCCAGCCTGGGCGACAGAGCGAAACTCTGTCTCAAAAAAAAAAAAAAGAATAAACACAAACTCTACAGATGGCAATTTACTGGATTTATTAAAATGACACAAACAGTGGGCTAATACATTTAACTCTCACTTTAACACTGCTCTAGGCTGGGCACAGTAGCATATGCCTGTAATCTCCAATACTTTAGGCTGAGGTGGGAAGATCACTTGCGCCTGGGAGGTCAAGGCTGCAGTAAGCCCTGAACATGCCACCGCACTCCAGCCTGGGTGACACAGCGAGACCTCGTCTTAAGAAAACAAAAACAAACAAACAAACAAAAACACAAAAGAACGCACTGCTCTATATGAAATAGTTTACTTTAATTGCTTTTTGGTTATTTATGCTATAAATAAGTCTTTTAAAAAAAAAAAAATGTCACCTCTTCAGAGCTGAGCCAAAAGACCATGCCCTAGTCTCTAGTCTTGCCACAGGAAAATGTGAAACACAAACTACTTAATTGTGTATATAGTCACTAGGTTCTTCTTGATCTTACCTATAGTATGAAAAATAAAAAGATGTTTCTTTTAATTTATTCCTTTTCCTAACTCCAGGGCCCCATCTGTATAACTTAATCCAGATGTTCATATCACTGGCTTGAATAAGTACAAGCCAGCTAAACTGCATGTTATGCTGAAAACCTATACTCCATCTCTCTCACTTGATAAAAGAATAATATGCTTTTGGTGTATGTAAAAACGATCTTTATATATCTCTGTATGCATATTGCAAATGTACAAACTCATTTTTCTTACCTACTTAAAACCTGGAAAGCCAGGTTGGGTCTGTCTGTCTATGATCCCTAACTACTTGAGAAGAGTAGTTTTCAAATTTAAGAAATCCTCATAAGAGAACTTCCAAAACTCTTGAGATTCAACCAACACAAGTTGGTCTGAAACAGAATTGTTTTTTCATGATACATGAATCCAGAGATACGAGTAGCTCTGAGCAATTTATGAACCGATTCTACAACTAGGGAACCTATAGTAAAAGGTACTGCCAAAGCTAACAAAGGAAAAATATATTACACAAAACAAGCATTCCACTTGAATATTCAACCTTGACAAATTTAAAACAATGTTATCTAGGCCAAATGATAAATTTATCAGAACCTGATTTTACTTTAAAATAGAGCCCTTTATTTTGACCTTTGATCCTTTCTCCCCATTGCTTGTTTTTGTCAGGTTTGTCAAAGATCAAATGGTTGTAGATGTGTGGTGTTATTTCTGAGGTCTCTGTTCTGCTCCATTGGTCTATATGTCTGTTTTGATACCAGTACCATGCTCTTTTGGTTACTGTAGCCTTGTAGAATAGTTTGAAGTCAGGTAGCATGATGCCTCTAGCTTTGTTCTTTTTGCTTAGGATTGTCTTGGCTACATGGGGTCTTCTTTGATTCCATATGAAATTTCAAATAGTTTTTTCTAACTCTGTGAAGAATGTCAATGGTAGTTTGATGGGAATATCATTGAATCTATAAATTACTTTGGGCAGCCAGGCGCAGTGGCTCACACCTGTAATCTCAGCACTTTGGGAGGCCGAGGTGGGTGGATCATGAGGTCAGGAGATCAAGATCATCCTGGCTAACACAGTTAAATCCCATCTCTACTAAAAAATACAATCAAATTAGCCGGGCGTGGTGGCGGGCACCTGTAGTCCCAGCTATTTGGGAGGCTGAGGCAGGAGAATGGCGTGAACCCAGGAGGCGGAGCTTGCAGTGAGCCGAGATCACACCACTGCACTCCAGCCTGGGTGACAGTGTGAGACTCCGTCTCAAAAAAAAAATTCTTCGGGCAATAAGGCCATTTTCACGATATTGATTCTTCCTATCCATAAGGATGGAATGTTTTTCCATTTGTTCGTGTCCTCTCTAATTTTCTTGAGCAGTGGTTTGTAGTTCTCCCTGAAGAGGTCCTTCACATCCCTTGTTAGCTGTATTCCTAGGTATTTTAATCTCTTTGTAGTGATTGTGAATGGGAGTTCATTCATAATTTGGCTCTCTGCTTGCCTGTTCTTGGTGTAATGGAATGCTTGTGCTTTTTGCACACTGATTTTGTATCCTAACAGGTATTTTATAAATAAAGATATCAATGGTCAAAGAAGCTAGGAAATTGCTGGCTTTAACAAAATTTACCAGCTTTACTTAACTGTGGGCCTCCAAAGCCTTTAGTGAGCTCACTTGCACAGCGACTCTCCCAGAGGGGTAGAGGGGCAGCAGTCTGCAAATCTGTACCACAGAGCCCTATTAATATCTCCCAGAGACTGTTTTATCACAAGCAGTTTGGGAAAGACTAGAATATATAGGTATCCCATACAAGTGGTTAGTAAGACTCTCCTAGGGTCAATATCAACTTGACATGGCACAAAAACTAGATATAACCATGTGTTTATTGCCCAGGACTTCATATATTTGAATATGTGTGTCCCACTTACAGTGGGTGAAAGGAGGGAATAGGGGAGAGAAATGGAATGTGGATCTTCTGCCTCTGTTTCTTACACACCTGTTCCTAAAATCTGAAATCTCCATAGTTAGGCAGCTGAGCCGGAGGCTTAGGCTGAGTACTGGGCTCACTGTTTATATTGTGATGGGAAATCTAGTAGACAAAGAAGCAGACTCATTCATTAACAGTGACTAGAGAATTCCCAGTTCCCCCACTCAGATCTTTGGTGACTAAGCTCCAAAAGCAGGCAAGAAGCCCACCTCAAGCACCTCAGATGAAGACTGCCGATAGCAGCAGCATATTTTGGGACCAGGAAGTAACTACTGGCATTTGTACAGCAAGAGAAAGCTAGGAGGTTGGTTACAAAAGCCCTTTCAGACAGGTCTTCCATGCATTCAACCAGGTGACTCTCAAGCCCCAGGCGTGAACTAGCAGCTAGCAAATGCCTGCTCATTTTGTTGTGACAAAGTCCAGGTTTGCTGTTGGTGTGGAGCAGGAGCCTCATCCCATCAAGGTCCTCCTTAGGGGCCTGTGATGAAAGCCTCCATTGCAAGTGCAATGGATCTGCTGTCTGGCTGTATACATAGACCCTTAGACTCCAGTGATGGTAACAGGAGGGGCCTTTAGGAGACAGACAGCAATTTGGGAGCTGGCTCTACCATTTACTAGCTATGCCACCTTGGGTAACTTGCTTAGCCCCCGTATACTTCAACTTCCTTATCTGTAAAAAAGGGATAGTATTAGTACCTGTATCTACCTCAGAGGGCTTTTGTGAGGATTAAATAATGCACTGAAAGCACTTAGCACAAAGCCTGAATTATTGGAGATGCTCAATAGACATAGCTAATAATTTGAATGAGAAGAAATTACAGCCAAGGAAAGGCTTAGGGCAAAACTAAGGTTTGGCATTAGATATACAGCAGGGACTCAATAAATACTTGTTGACGGTTCAACCAATATCTCTTAAGGCCAATGTTAGATCCTGGAAAGGAGTTCTCGCTGGTTTATATGCAGGTCAGGAAGAAATGGGCTTTTTATTACCCTTCACACTAAAGCAGGAAGCCAATACCTCATAGTATTTGCATCTCAAGGTTGAGTGGATGCTAAAAACTATTTCATTCACTGAAAGAAGGACAAGCATGTGTTAAAAGTGGTTTCAGTGACTCATAAGTCCTGAGATGTCCCCATATGGAAGGATAGCTCTGAACCACCCAGAACAATGAAGTAGAAACAGGGACTGTCTACTGAGAAATTTCCCAACATTTTCTGCCAAAAATCAGAAAGGGTCTTTAAACATAGAAAGTTTCTTCAGCAGCAATTAATAAAAGGAAAGATCTGTAGCACCATATACCACACTCCATGGATTTACTGTTTCCTTCTCATTTTCAGCTCTGCAAAGCATTGATGAGTAAGGCCATAGTGGCACATGTAAATAAGACAGAATTAATTTAGGGGTAAAACAGATCTTGGTGACATGCTCTCCCACTCCTGCTATTTCAGCTTTTTGTTCTGAGGAAAAGTACCATCCTAAAGAAAGTACCATAGTCCAAAACCATGGCACTAACCCCATGTTGATAACCAGTTATTTTTCGTTTATGTAGAATTAACACAGCTCCTAAAGTGCTGACGAAAATATAGGCACTCAGATTGCACACACTATACAGAAAGCCCATGTCCTACCTCCAATCAGAGAGAGGCCCCTTCTTCTACTCTTCTCTGGGGATGAAAACAGATGTACCCCTGGACAACCAAGAGTGAACTACTATATGTATGCTTGGTGGCTTATTGAGGAAACTTCCTTTTTCCACGTGAGGCTGGGGAGCTGGCTGGATGAGAATAAATTAAACCACTCTCTGCTCTCTTCACAGGGTATCAGCTTGGGAATCTCATGGACCTGATCTATGGCGATCAACCCTTGCAAAGAAGCACAGCGATAGGACAACTTCCCTATCACCGAACAGTTTACATAAATCAAATGTGTCTCCTACCTGTGATGGACAAGGTCTCGGAGGGAGCGCAGGTGGTGGGGGTAACAATCCTGACTTGGTAGCTAAAAAGAAAAACACATACTGTTAAGGATCACCCCCAAAAACAAACAACAAAAAACTCTTATGCTTGTTAACTTGGAATGGCAATGGCATTTGCATTTAACATCTTTAAGTTTTTACAATCCTTCTGAAGGCTTAAGAAAAAAGAGTACATGTTATTTCTAATCCCTTTTTCATTTTCATCCTAACCCAAACTCAAGTATTTATGTAGGCTGTTATGATTAAGATGACATAATAAAACTACAGAAAAGACACCTAAAACGCAGCATGGGAAAGGTGGTCAATTCCTCATTATTCTAATGTTATTTAGTTCAAACAATCTAGGACAAAAGTCAGAAAGGGTCTTCTTTGATTTCTCTCATATTTCTCCCCAGCTCTCAGCCACTACACTGCTCATTAGCTCAACGAGTAGGCTACAGAAACTAAGGGAGCTGGAACCCAAATGAGGAAGCTTGGCTACCCTGTAAATGCTCCTGGGAATGGATCTGAAAGCAGTGAGGGAGGCTGACAGTGATGGACTGAAATGATATTTAGGTATTCCTCAAAGACCTCATTTTCTTTTTCTCTCCCTAATATTTATTGTCAGGGATATCTAAAGCTGTTTCCAAAATAATCTGGCCACATCTGAAGAGTCTTTACAAAGTACCAGTCTAACCTGAAATTTTGTGAGATACAGAGAATACTGGGTTAAGCCAAGAACATCTGAATTGTACCTTAGCAGTGAAAATAAACAGCTGCTATGAAATTATAAATAAAGTTCATAATAACACACAAGAAATAAGTTTAGCATTACACACTGGCAAGTTAAACCACATTCTTTACAAACTCCTTAGAAAAACACCATCATCCAAATAACTATATGTAGTTTATTTGCAAATTTGTACTATGCATTTGGACAATCTTCTGTGCCTTAAAAAATAAATCAGAGCAATGTACCAAGAATATAAAAGATTTTGCAAATTACTGTTGATTTCCCTTAGCTAGCTGGATCAGACAAGCTAGAAGACGGAGTTTAGTGTGTTCCACAAATGTAACTCAGGGTAATATCACAGAGATTTTCATTTTGAGCCAGTGCATGGATACGGTACAATCATGTGGGCCTATCTATGATTTCTCTCAATCTGTCTTTCATTAAAATTTATGAAACACATTGGTGGGTCAAAACTCCAGAGGTGGTGAGACCTTGAACAGCTGTCAATAACAAAGCACACAGCAGGAGAGAATGCTGAAAGTCTTCAGGAATTATTCATCTCAAGGTTCCTAGTCTTTAGATCCTCACAGATTGGACCTTTAAAATTAATTTACTTTCAAAATAAATGAAACAGGCCAGGCATGGTGGCTCATGCTGTAGTCCTAGCACTTTGGAAGGCCAAGGTAGGCGGATCCCTTGAGCTCAGGAGTTTGAGACTGGCATGGGCAACATGGAGAAACCCCTTATCTACAAAAAATACAAAAATTAGCCAGGCTTGGTAATGCACGCCTGTAGTCCCAGCTACTTGGGAGGTTGAGACGGGAGGATCACTTGAACCCAGGAGTCGAAGCTTCAGTGAGCCATGATTGTGCCACTGCACTCCAGCCTGGGCAACAGAGTGAGAACCTGTCTCATTCATAAATAAATAAAATAAAATAAATCTATGCAAGCTTCTAAGGGAAAGGCGAAGCAATTGTATTAATGTGTGTTAAAACAACTCTTTATTAACAAAAAAGAGGACTATACAAGATATGATGAGCCATTTAATTAAATTGACTTCTGCTTCCAGCCAAGATGAAGTAACAAAAAGCAGATTTACCCACCCATTTAAAACAACCAAAGACACATAGAAAAGAAATATATATGAAACAACAGTTTTCAAGGCACTAGAAAACCAGACAACAAAAGACAGTGACCCCTGAGAGAGAGAAACCAACCAGGTAAGCCCTGTGGCTGACTGTCCCTACTCACTGCCTTAAGAGTTATTAGAAACAGTATTTAGATCCTGATTCGAATCTCATTAAGTTCTTTTGTATGATTTAATTTTTTTAAAAGACAAATACCCTGCTCTTCTAAAAGATGATGTGTGCGTCTATTTCTGAATACACTTTTAGATAAAAGCATGTCACCTACAACACCATTTATTGGGGTTTATCAGAAACTGCCCCAAATAAGAAGAAGAAATGGGGTAAAGACTGAAGCCATTTAATATGGAATCCTGTTTTAGTTTCTCACAATTGAGCTTCAAGCAACAAAATGGTATCACAAGTATGTGTCCGTTGTTCATTGTGAATCTCTCATTGTAAGAGTTGGCATAGGTTATTTTCCTCATTAAATTCTGAGAGCATTTTTGGGGGGAAGCCCCCACACTTCTATAAAAAATATTATACTTGACAGGATATCACTCTGTTGCCCGGGCTGGAGTGCAGTGGCATGATCATTAACACTGCAGTCTCAAACTCCTGGGCTCAAGAAGTCCTCCCACCTCGGCCTCCTAAAGTGTTGGGATTACAGGTATCAGCTACTGTGCCCAACCATATTAAATATTAAGAGCAGCTTTGTTTCATCTTTTCAGTACCTTTGCCATGTTTTTTATTTTTCCAGTCTTACCTAGTTAGAATTAACTACTGTAAAAGTTGAATTTCAATGGCAATAATGGGCATTCTTGTCTTTTCTTGATCTCAAAGGGGAGCATTTACTAGCTCACCATAGGGTATGGTGTTGGTGTTTGCTGTAGGTATGTTGTAGATACCCTTTAACAGATTATGAAGGCGGTGTGGCCAGCGGGTAGTGGGCAGCACAGAGTGCAAGTCTCTTTTGTTCGGCTGAGGGGAGGGCCATTGGCTGAGGCCTGTGGTACGCCATTTCAGTGAGGGGCTCCACTGCGGCTACCCTTGCTGCTTTTCTGAGCGCCACTCCCGCGGCTGACCTGACGCGCCAGTAGTGCAGCACCGATTCCTCTCTGGCTCTTGGGTGCTGCTCTGAGCAGCATCACCCTTTACACCAGAAAGCTGGCGCACGCTATGGGGAAAAAACAAAACAAGAAGAAAGTGGAGGAGGTGCTAGAAGAGGAGGAACAGGAATATGTGGTGGAAAAAGTTCTCTACCCAGTGGTAAAGGGCAAAGTGGAGTACCTTCTAAAGTGGAAGGGGTTCTCAGATGAGGACAACACATGGGAGCCAGAAGAGAACCTAGATTGCCCCGACCGCATGAGTTTCTGCCGTCACAGAAAACAGCACATGAGACAGATAAATCATAGGGAGGTGAGCACAAAGCTGATTATGATTCTGAAGATAAGGGAGAGGAGAGCAAACCAAAGAAGAAGAAAGAAGGGTCAGAAAAGTCACGAGTCTTTGCTTGGGGTTTGGAGCCGGAGCAGATTATTGGAGCTACAGACTCCACTGGAGAGTTCATGTTCCTGATGAAAAGGAAAAACTCTGATGAGGCTGACCTGGTCCCTGCCAAGGAAGTCAATGTCAAATGCCCACGGGTTGTCATACCCTTCTATGAGGAAAGGCTGACATGGCGTTCCTACCCCAAAGAGGATGATGACAAAAAAGATGACAAGAATTAACTCTCCTGAGTACCAGTCCCTGTCACATCTGACTGTGGGTTTCAAGTGGGAAGGAAAGAAGTTCTACTTGTCTTAACACTACAGAGGTGGCTTGAGAAGATGCCCTTTGAAGAGCCAGTATTGTTTCTGTGCCCTGCAGCAGCCCAAGTGTTTTAAAGCCATTCCAAGCTGTATAGTTTGCACATCCATCTCAGTGGAGGGGAGGGGGATAAGTGCTTCAAAGCAACCTTTTCTGCGCTTTGCTGAGAAAAAGCAAAGGACCCTCTATGAAGGACAAAACTTGTAGAACTGGGTGTGTGGGAGAGCAAAAACATACTGTAGATAATCAAAGAGCATCTCCGCAATGCACAACTTTCTTCCCAATAGTGTTAACTCTGCATTTTTACAGCGTAGCACATGTGTAGTTTTTGGCTATTACTGGTGTATTATGTGGGAGAGGGAGTAATGGGAAGGGGGGAAAGGAAGATGGGTAGCATCATTTTGATTAAAATTTGGGGCCTGATAGGGGAAATGTGAAGCAATGCAAAGAACAGAAAACTAATGATTTGCTTCTATGTCCAGAATATTTTACCTTTGAAAAAAATGTCACTGGCACCATAAATACGGACTGTGAGAGACTGTTTAAAAGCTGTGAATGTCTGAAATCTATAAGCCAAAGTGTTTCCTGCCTAAATTTAATGCACGTAGTCCCACAAAGGACTAAGCCAGTTAATAAGTTACCAGTTGCCATTTTGGAGATGGAAATTGACTGAGGAAGGAAGGTCTTTTATTGGAGAGTATATAGTACAAGCAGATCATTCTGCCTCAGAGGTACTAATTCCTGAAATTAGAAGACACTTTCTTTTCCAATAATGAAGTTATAAATATCAGCTTGTTCACCCTAGCCACTGGCTGAGGTGTTGGGGTGGTAGAGGAGATGGTAAGACAGGAGGGAAAGTAAAGGGCCCACGCTCTTAGTTGGGAGAACTTTTGCAGCCATTCTCTTTTTTGAGCTTTGAACACTGAAACCATTGGTGGCAGGGTTCAGTCACTGATAGCACAAGTTTCACTGAATTGATTCAAGAGTTGAATGATTTCAAAACTCTTGGTCTCAGGAGAAGATTAAACTTTCATACTGGGCAGTGATTCACTTTAAAACACACACACAAAAAAAAACAAATAAAACCACTTTTTAAGAAATCCTAAGAAGTAACTGATACCCAAAATGCTCTGTCTTGAGTCGTGAGATTCATCAGTTCTTGATATCATCTAGACTTGGATCTAGAGCTACATTGTAAAATCTTTTTAGGCATGTGTTAGATTTCTTTGAAAACTTTGTTTGAATGTAAACTTCATACCACACTGTCAGTTTTTATCTTAATAAAACTATAGATTTATAATCCCTGAAAAGAAATAGATTATTATGAAAATTCCTATCCTTATTTTGAGACTTCTTTTCAGGATAATTTGTTGTTGGA